GCCCTCAAGGGGCCAAACCTCACTGTGGACAGACTACTTTTACAAGACCTGGTGCCAGCCCTATCTCTGAAGCAAAAAGCTTCAAAAAGAACACAGCTGTATAATCTCTCCCATTCTATTACACAAAACACCCTGTGCAGAGAAACACATGAAGAAAAGAGAAGGTTTAGAGAACACCCAGTTCATGCAGCTGTCCTGCCGATGATTGTGCTGCCTTTGAAGGAGTCGAGAACAATGGTCATTTCACTTCCAGATAATACATTTTATTTAAAACTGCTTGAAACCAAGTAACAAAAAGTCTGCATTTCAATCTGAACATTAACTAGGTATAATTACTTTAGGACCTTGTTAAGCCTTGCATTTAGGGACTTAACAGATAAAATATTATTTGAGCAAGCCTTTACATGTTGCAATTGTGTGCCAAGCAGTATTTTAGACAGATCATGGGCTGGCTGCTAAGTTTTTGATTTTAACAGTCTTTCTCTTTTCCTTTCATACTTCCTCCTTGGCCTGAATTGAGGAAGGAGTTTGTGTCAAGAAGCTTTAGGTCATCTGACAGAAAATCCTTACGGGAATTCCAAAAGAAACTGAAGGCAGGATGGGCCTGACATGAGTTTTATTTCTGTACATTTGATTCATTTCAGATATAGTCCAGGAAATAACCGTCTTTGCGTTCAGACAGAATCAGCTCTAAGAACCATTACACCTAAACAAATGAACCATCCCCATTACAAGCAAAGGCCTTTATTGGGCAACTGTGAATTTGCGATTGCTCTGAAAGAGATACAGATAGAGAAGTAGAAGACTACCACTGCCAAGTTCAAGAATGTTCACAACTCTGTATGCGTATCACCTAATTGAAGAATGAAAGCATAAAACCCCCAGCAATGTACCAGAAAACAAAAGTGAAAACACACTCCACAAACTCACTCTGTTAGACTGTCGTTTACACGCTCGTTGCCACTCTCCTCATTCTCGGCTATGGGTACCTAGGCCAGCCTCTCAGTTCAGTTGGGAGTATTGGCAATTGTTCATCTTGCTTTTTTACACGCAAATCTTACAAAGGAATGAACTGGATACCTAGCTGTGCAGAATATGTAAGCAGACAACCCTCTCCTCGGAGTAATTCCATCTTTTGCTACCACTCAGATGAGGAATGGTGAGCCTGTAATACTATATTTACAGCCTTCCTTCTGAAGTTAAAGGGCAGGAGAGGAGATGTGAGATAAATTTATAGCAATGATATTCTGCCAGCAATGTGTCCTCAGCAACGTGAAAGATCACCAGAATAAGCAAATATTTTGTAAAAAATCCTCGCACAAGTACCTTTCACTTTTTATTTTAAAGACAGTAACACAACCAATTGAAAAGAACTGGGTACCAAGCAGAACTTGCAGCATAAGTGTTCAAAGTATTTCAGAGATTCCTCTGCTATTAAATTTACAAAAAATTCACATGCTGATGGGTGCATGTATAGTACAAATCCCTGCTACTACATTACAGGAATACAGATTTCTAAGACAGGAAACTGTCTGCCTGCCCCTTCAAAATATCCAAATGCTTTACAAAGCAAGACGCCTTGTTAACCCACCTGCACATATAGCAGCAATCAGGCCTTTTCTGCTTTCCTGGTCCTTCAAAATGTCTTTCACAGCAGGAGACTGTACAAAGAAACCGTATCACAAGTCATTGTTTGGCACTGATTATTTGAAGCACAGTTGAAATATTTACCACTGCAACTTCATAAACAAGTTTTACAAAGAAAACCAGCTGCCAGCTCTCCATCCTGCCTCAGCACAGAGGGCAATGAAAACACTAAAAAGGAGAAAAAACTGAACAACAAATACATGCCCCACAAGGAAAGAGCAAGGAAATCAGAAGGAACTGCAGGGAAGTACTTGGACCACATAAAAGCTCGTTAATCCACAGCCACAGAAAGTTGTTGTTGGAAAGCTTCACAAGACAAATAGGAAAGAGTATTCATGAGATACCTCCAGACAGCCTCTATCATTCTTAAGAAGATTTATACGGGGTATTTGTCTCATATTCCAGGGCTTACAAACTGTGTGATACCATCTAAATCCTATCTGATAGATCGACTTGTTTGTCCGCCTGCCTTCCACAAGGTATTTATACCACCACTACAACAGCTTTGCACCAGAGACAGAATTCTTGAGCAAAGGAATAGAGTCTCGTGGGTTCGGCCTGTTTTATATTTCATGGAATTAAATCTTCATTTGCAACTGTTTCATCTTCATACGATTATGAACAGAGATTTTCCCACAATACAGAGCACCCTTCCCTTTTTATTCTGCTTAACTAGGTACTCAAGTCCAAGAATTTACGCAGTTGTCCCACCTATGTATTCGTAAGAAGGCTTAAGACAATTAACATTTAGTTTACTGATTCGTTCAGAAGAGAATTTTCAGATGCCAAACTGAATTTGCAGGATTACTAAGCAAGTGTAGACCACCCACTACTCATGAGGATGCCCATGAATCTTTAAGATATCAGAACTTTACCTCTGACAAGTTTTGAGCTCCAAGGTTACCCCCAGGCAGGACCACGACATCGTAAGGCCCCTAAACAAAGAAAAGATAAAATTTTTCTGTTGAACAGAGGCTGTACGTACATTACACCGTTTTAATGCCACTACAGCTGAGTCGGATGCAAAGCAAAGGGACCTACCTTTTTTTCCACTGAATGACACTTTACAATCAGAGAACCAGTTCCAATTATGGACCAAAATACAGTCTCCTACTCCAGGAAGAGCCTATTATCAATAAAGTCTGTCACAGAACTAACTTTCAAGCCCAGTGCATTTAAGAGCTTCAACAAGCAAACAGCAGCTCTTGCACTGTAAGCATAGGTGGTTTTCCTCCAACCTTAGTGTTCAGGTCTAACTGCAGCATTGTTTAGCTTTTCATCAGAACTTTTCAATTGTTCCACATCACAGTATTTTGTTGGGCCAACTAACATGCAAAATAAAGCTCTGTGTTTGATGCTTTACAAAAACAAATACCTGTGCAGAATTACGAAATCTGCCTGATCCTAGCATGCTATGAAGCAGGACAACACTGAAGGGGAGCACTGCGGGACGTGCAGTTCCGTGATTCACTGCTGCGTAGAGCTAACATAACATGCAACATATTCCTAAAAGTAATGCATAAGCTTTCCAAATTCACCTCTGAAACTGTGAGAAAGGCTATGTTGGCCATTGTATCAGATCAGGGTGATGACCAACCTCTTTTCTGGCATCTTCAAGACTGGCATCAGGACAAATGAAGACATCTCGACTGCACTGCACTGGTTCTTTTCCTGTTAGGCCTGCAACAGTCACCTTGATCTAACAGAAGAATACATACAATTCAAGAATTTAGGGCATTTTTCTTATATGTTTGTTCTTAAGTAGTACACAGAATGAGCGAAGCACTACCGACAGCTGCTGAGAACAGGGCAGCTCTTAAGCTTCCCCAAACCATGATTAAGTCCAAATGCGCAAGGTAAGCAGTGATACTCACCTCGAGATTAACAAATACCTCTAATAGTTCAACTTTTCAAACAGGACATTTAGAGAATATCTGATCCCACAGGTTTGAAACAAAACAAAGCAATAGAACCCAGGAGAGCTGGACTAAGTAGATCAGATAATGAACTAAAGTCTCTCTGCAGGCTCAAGCCATTCTCAAACACACTTACAGCGTGTTCAATTTTCTCCCTTGACTTTTAGATGCCTGGTCATAATATCATACATGTGCATGGCACAGCTCACATTCACTAAATAAGCAGACAAGCTTGAGCTTCTTTTGGCAGCCCAAATGGGGAGCACATTATTGGAATGACAAAGGTGGTGGGAGAGAGTAATTTTTAATTTAGTCATTTCTATACACATGCAGTTGATGGGTTTATTTAAAATCTTATTTTCATACTTAATCAGACGATAACACTGTGTACCACTACCGTTGCCAAAGTAAAAAAGAGCATCAGGAAACCCACCAGACAGAATTCTAGTTAATGACAGAATCTTAAAAGCAGCTTGCGAAAAGCTATGTAACGTCACGAGCTGTAATGTACTGAGCTGTCCAGACCCCTACAAAAAAAGCACTTCCTGTTACTGTGCATGGGAGTAGCCATGTTTTCTGATAGGGTAAGATTCACCTGAAACACTGCTCTGGTCTACGTGAGGCTGATATTTTAAAAGGCTATCTTTTGCACAAATGTCAGTTGTCATGCATGCTTATTTGGGGCATGGCACAAATATTTGCTAACCGGTAAGAAGGCAAGGGTGAATTTTCACCTCATACCAGCAGACTATGCCTTGAACTCCTAGCAATGACTGTCAACTTGAGGCAACGATTTTCCCTTGACCAAGCACTCACAAAAAGATTTTTCGTTGTCTGCATACTCACCCCAGCTCTTCTCATAACATCAGTGGGGATTACAGTTTCCATTTCCTCTGCCCCTTTTGCAAGAATCACCAACGCTCTTTTCGAGGCCATATCTTGAGGGGTTGCTATTAGGTGAGATGGTTGCGAAGGGGGGGCTGAGGAGGGTGGAAAGAGACAATGTCGTTAGAAGGCAAATCCCCTAGTATAAATCCTTCCCAATGGTGAAGGTTAACAGTGAGTAATTTGCATTTTTGCATTATCTTTCATTTAAGCCACCTTAAAATGGTTCACTAGCTTTAATATTCATAGCAATTTCACTTAACTTAAAAAAGAGCTTTTTACAAAGAATGCATTATGATATTAAGGGATCAAGACATTTGTGTAGTGGGAGGCACAGCACATCAGCACCAGAAGAGGAAGCAGCCTGACCTAGTCAAGACTTTACATGACTTGAGTCTGCCAGAGAGAGGGGTTCAAGGTGGGTGGCAGAGTTGTTTTCAATTTGCACACCCTCACTCATACCCAGACTACTGACTCCTACCCAGGTCAGCATTTATAAAAAGGGCTTGCATGAGCTTTGACCTCATGTCTGGTATTTAGTTTCCACACAGCATGCTTCACGAAGAGTTTCCTGTGACTTACAATGACTCGACCAGTGCCCCTGCAAAACCTCAGCAACAGATTTTCTGGGTATTTCACAATTTTGTGGGGGAGAAAGGTGTGTGCACATGTGTGATGGGGGAGCAGACCACAGAATTTAGCAAATGGAACAAACTAGGCTTAAGACTTTTTTTTCTGGTTCCTAAACTCAAGTTGAGGTGAATGGCCAAATTTCCATTTGAAGGTTAAGTTAAAGTAGCATTAACTACATCATGTAAAATACACACTAACTCATACTGGTCTGACAGAAGTCTGTGAAAGCATCTGTGGTGTGAGAAGGCATTTCACAGGTCATCCACTCTATGAGACAGGGATTTTTTTCCTATGCAGGGACTTGCCATCCAGAAATGCACGTAGCACCTGGGAGCTCTTCATAAAATGACATCCATGTTTAGTTGCCTCCACGGAAGAAAACCATCCCCTCATCGTGCTTCAACTTCATCTATTTTCAGGTTCGCTCCCCACTGTTAAGCCTCATTTAGAAAGACGCTCTTTCTAGAATGCAGTCATATACAGTGGAACGTCCTGCAGGATGCAGAACCAGCCCAAGCAGACTAATTCAGTGTGTCAAATCCTACTTTTAGGACAGCTTTACATACTGTCAACGCCAAGGCCAACTGAACAAGTACACTCAAATCATAGGTATTAGCAATTACTTCGGGACAACCTGGAGCTTCTTAATAATTCGTCTTGAAGATATATGTTGATTCTGCAAAACTAATTTTTGTATGGTTTTGACTAACTAGCAATGGAACACCTGAACAGCCACAACGCAGAAATACTGCATTTGCTTCTTATTGCAGAAAAGTACTCCAGGTCATAGTTTGCGTCCCTCTCTCTTATTAGTTCTTTAGATGCAAATAGGCACCCGATCCTGAAAGCTTTTCTCTTTCCCCTAGTGAAATGCAGTCTCTCCCTACTGTCCTTAGACATTTCTGGTAATACACTGACCGATTCTTGAGCATTAGTGCTGTTCTTTACGTGGGTGCATATGTAAACAGCCGTCACGCTGTAAATGCTACCAGGACAAGACCGTTTTCCAAGGCGGCAGAACGAAGCTGTACAGACATGACACCCGCTTCATTTAACAAGCTGTCTATGCATAGCAAACACAAGTCACCCATTTGCTTCTCGGTGCCAGCATATGCGCAGGCTGCCTCGGACCTTTAAGCCAAACGTATTCCCCTACGTGGGTACATGCACATTTCTCGAGATAGCGACTGCTGGCAGATGGCCGAACCAGAAACTCCAAGCAGGCTGGCTTTAGAAGAATCACGCCTTTCAGCGCCCCGACCACGCAGCCTAGCTACCAGAGGCAAGGGAAGCGTCCAGGGTCATCAGATCAGCCGCTCCGAACGGAAGGCCGCGTCCCTGCGCGCTCATCTGTTTATTTTAGGGACGCGGCGCCATTCGGCGTCGCGACCACCTCAGAACACGACGAAC